CATATGTAGGTAGGTAGGTAGAACCTGATGACCATATGTAGGTAGGTAGAACCTGATGACCATATGTAGGTAGGTAGGTAGAACCTGATGACCATATGTAGGTAGGTAGAACCTGATGACCATATGTAGGTAGGTAGGTAGAACCTGATGACCATATTTAGGTAGAACCTGATGACCATATGTAGGTAGGTAGAACCTGATGACCATATGTAGGTAGGTAGGTAGAACCTGATGACCATATGTAGGTAGGTAGAACCTGATGACCATATGTAGGTAGGTAGAACCTGATGTCCATATGTTGGTAGAACCTGATGATCATATGTAGGTAGAACCTGATGTCCATATGGAGGTAGAACCTGATGACCCTATGTAGATAGAACCTGATGTCCATATTTAGGTAGAACCTGATGTCCATATGTAGGTAGAACCTGATATCCATATGTAGGTAGGTAGGTAGGTAGAATCTGATGACCATATGTAGTTAGAACCTGATGACCATATGTAGGTAGAACCTGATGTCCATATGGAGGTAGAAACTGATGTCCATATGTAGGTAGAACCTGATGACCATATGTAGGTCGAACCTGATGTCCATACGTAGGTAGAACCTAATGTCCATATGTAGGTAGAACCTGATGTCCATACGTAGGTAGAACCTAATGTCCATACGTAGGTAGAACCTGATGTCCATACGTAGGTAGAATCTGATGACCATATGCAGGTAGAACCTAATGTCCATACGTAGGTAGAACCTGATGTCCATACGTAGGTAGAATCTGATGTCCATATGTAGGTAGAACCTGATGTCCATACGTAGGTAGAATCTGATGTCCACACGTAGGTAGATGCTGAGATGAAAAGGTGTTTCTGTCCTCTCCAGAGTCTGGCCCGAGTGTTTGCTGGGATGTCTGATGGTCTGCTGGCTGTTTACACCTTGGTGGACGACCTTCCTCTGGACGGAGAGACCTACCTATGTTCACATACTCTAAATAAAACTGTGTTTGGTCTAAAGGACTCTGATCCCAGGCAGAGACCTTGTCCAGTCAGGACCATGTCTCTGGTCAGCAGTGGCTCTCAGGTGAGCAGATCCTTCCTGACTTGTTTGTTCAATGAGTCCTTGTTGTTTAACACTAAAACCTTCCTGTGTTCTACTTCCTGACCACTTGTTGGGTAGTTATGGTTCTCCAATGGCCCTGGTCTCCTGATTATTGACTCTCTGAGTCTTCAGGCCGTTAGAAGACTGGATTTGTACAAACCACCATCCTCTATAATCAGCATAGCCACCAGCTTCTGCCTGTGGGGAGAAGAGGCAGTCTGGACCCTGGATGACCATACCAACACCCTGCTGTTGTACCACGTTGCCTCCTACGAGCTCTGTGCCTCATACTGGTGAGTCCAGTTAGTTCAACACAGCAGAGGTACCATCATGATCTGAGGTAGGACAACTTAGGTTAAATATTATCAGTCTGTGGCTGGGTCTTATTTCAGGGGCTGCAGCCACGGCTTACGTGGGCCACAGCCCATGCAGTCCGGGTAAGCTACATAAAACTGCTGTGAACTGAGATGGTCTAGCCTTCGCTTGGTGTATGCTTGCATGACCACACGTTACCGTTACCATGTTGATCAGTTTTGTATCCCATGCCTTCAGACTTAAAATGTGTTGGAACATTTTACACGTCTTCACTGGAAGAATAACTTAAGAATTAAGACGTTACACAAAAATTACAAACAAAAAAACATTAATAATTTGGGTTTAGTTCCAGTATAAGTACTTATTTAACTTCTCATTGCAGAATAGATTTCATCAGCTAAGTTGCTAAATATACATTTAAAAACAATTCTTTGGTCTTTGATGAATTTCCAAACTGCCTACATGCTAAACTTTTTTAGAAACTCAACTGTCTTTATTTTTCAGTTTAGTTTGCTGACGGTGCAATAAATCCTGGGATATCCTYGGCCGGGCAGGATACTCAGATGCATCTGTCATTTTCAGGAATTTGTGGGTCACATTCGTCTGCCTGCCACCATGAGAATGAGCTCATGGATTGGGACAGTCTTTGGCGTGGCGCAGTGACGTAAGTGAACAAATGCGTGTTAGTGGGATGCAGCCCCTGAACTAAGACACAGTCTATACAAGAAGCTCTGATCTGTGGGATTCTTCAACAACTGAGGAAAACTCACAAAAACAGCAGGACCTCTGCTACAAGTCACAGTCTTCATGCTACACACTAGTGTCTAAATGCTACACACTAGTGTCTTCATGCCACATCTTACAGTCTACATCTTACAGTCTACATGCTACAGTATACAGTACATGTTACAGTCTACATGTTACAGTCTACATCCTACAGTCTACATGTTACAGTCTACATGCTACAGTCCACATGTTACAGTCTACATGTTACAGTCTACATCTTACAGTCTACATGCTAGTCTACATGCTAGTCTACATGTTACAGTCTACATGCTACAGTCTACATGTTACAGTCTACATGTTACAGTCTACATGTTACAGTCTACATGCTAGTCTACATGCTAGTCTACATGTTACAGTCTACATGCTACAGTCTACATGTTACAGTCTACATGTTAGTCTACATGTTACAGTCTACATGTTACAGTCTACATGTTACAGTCT